TTAGTTTTGCCGGTATTCAACATATTTTACCAGTCATAGTCCGGTAATTATTTACACTCTAAGAAGAGTCCTACACAACAGACATGGCGTCAAAAAGGAGTAATGTGTGGAAATATTTCGACCAGGTTAGTGAGTGCGGTGTAGAGGTCAAACTATGCCAAATTAAACTACATGCTAAACCTTGCTATACCCGCAACCTCCGTTCCAGCTTAGAGGGTCTTCTCTACAGCTGGGCAGATTGTGAATCGCACATGAAAGCTGTTGGCCTATAGCTGTCAAACTGTGATCACCAGTTCAATACATTAGAACAATTTGACTTGGTTTCTATACTTATTTGAACATGTATTTATTTATTTTTTTATAGGATATGTACATTTCGGTTAACCGGTTAGCCGTTTTTTGGGGGGTCGAATATTCGAATATACATTTGCTTTCAAATTCCCATCCCTAATATAGAGTAAAGGTTGAATATACATTAAGATACATAAAACACATGTATCTGGTTTCTATGTGTTATCAGTGGGCAGATTGGACATGCTGATGAAAGCAGAGTGAAGTCAACACACTGGGATAATAACACGTTTACATTTATGTTTCATTATAAGAAATACCACAAGAAAGAAGAAGAACTGTAGGAATAAAATAACTTCTGTCTTTATTTCTTCTCCTTTTATAGGGAGGACTCCTGGTCCCTTGAACATGGACCTAACCTCATCTCCAGGTATTCACTTCTCCTGATTGTTATCAGGGAAACCTGAATGAGTTGTTTTTCTACATTATTAAACAGGAACACTTTTACATTCAATTTTGACTTTCAAAAAGAAGATTTGGTCTTTAAAAAAACAAGAATTAGGAAATGGGATATAACGAGTAATTTATGAATCAACTTGTAATTCCCTCTTTAAATAATCCAAGTCCAGTTTACGTTCAAAGGCTGGATTTTAATCTGTATATTTTGGTGCTATTTCATTGATTTATTGATCAAATAAATAAAGAATGTTCACAATTAAAAACAAGTAATAGAAGATTATGTAATGAGAGGCCAAACACCTAAAAGGCTCATTGAGGGTCTCTTGAAGTACAAATATATAAGCTCCTAACATTTCTCTCTGTCCGTCCACGCTGATCCAATCCTGAGAAGATGAGTGCAGTTTCTCCTGCATCGAGCTGTGAGTCCCTGAAGAGTGACCGCTCCATGGAGTTCCCTTTGTGTTTCAAAGGGTAAGATGCAGTTTCTGAATCTTTCCAGCATTCATTTCCTTAAGAGTATATCAGTTTTATTTAACACTAACAGATCTGCAGTGCTGATAACAATGTGTGTGCCTCGTCCATATATCTAACTTCAATGTGATGCACATTTCCCTTTAGATGATACTTATCAGACTTTAAAGCATTATGACGTTTCTCAACCCGTTCTTTCACGATACCTTAACTGAGTGTTCCTCTGAACAGCAGGGGGGATATGTCAATCATGTAGATAATGCTTGTTCACGTTAGAAATGTTGTTAGCCGTGTTCATCTACCTCTGTCTTTCAAACGGCATGATTTACCTTGAAGGCAGGTCAGCCATTTTCTATAGATGATGGAGGTCAGACACATTTAGACCAGGTATTCTCCTCCTCCTC